CATGGCTGAGCCGGCTGGAGCTGGTTTGCAGAGCCCGGTAGCTCCAGCATGGTCCTGACACATTGCTCAGGGTCCTCCTGCAGCTGCAGGGGGGGCTTGGCTGCCATCCCTGGCACTGCACAGAGCCCTCCTGCTCCACTGCTCCAGCTGGGCAGCGTGTGCCGGGGCGCTGGGTGCCCCGCAGCCTGGCACAGGTTCTGTGTTGTCACCTGTCCTGACTGTCTCTGGCAGTGGTGCTTAGCCTGCGCTGCTGTCCACAGTCCCACAGTCTGTGCAGGGCTGTTGGCCTCGGGCACTCACAGCCGTGGTAGCACCTGGGGGCTGGAGCTGGCTGCTGTCCTCACGTGCTCCTGGTGTGCTGCTGGTGTCTGCCCGCTCTACGGGCACTGGGAACCACTGGGGCCATCCATGCTAGGAACCTCATCCCTTCCCCGGCTGCCAAAGCAGTGCTGGTCCCTCATCCATGCTGCATGTGTCGGGCTGCAGGGGGGCCACCAGACTGCTCCCCCTGCAGTGACAGCACCTTTGAACCCAGGAGGGATGGTGGGTGCAGGTGTCCCATCCTCCCAGCTTGGCATCTCCCTGGCAACAAAATCGCCCTATCTGCAGATCTCTGGAGCAGCAGTACCGTTTGTGTCTGGGGGAACACAGGGATACCAGTGCCGGTGGGTCTGGGAGAGCAGTGATACCAGCATCACGGGGTCTGGAGAGCACAGTGGAGCATTTGACCATGGCTTAGACTCCTTTTCAGGGCTCCACCCTGAATGTCACACCAGGGCTCGCCAGCACTGGAATGTTCCCTGGCTCTCGGACTATTCCCATGCAGCTGTTGTTATGCCTCTCATGGATTATATTAATTTCAGCCAGATGTTCATGGCCATAATGTTTGTACCATGCATGTGACTCAAAGAAGGGCTGGTAAGGGACCAACTTGCTTCTGTTCCCAGGCACCTGTTCTGGGTCAGATTGCCAAAACCCTGTTACTTTCCCAGCTCTCAGAGATGCTTCTGCAGCCACACATAGCCCTGGGGACTCTGGCCAAGCTGCTGCCCACCAGTAGCTTGTGAGCAGGTGAGCTGTCACCTGTCATCTGCATTAGACATAGACACAGCTCCAGTCCAACCCACTATGGTTATGGTGTGAACTGCCAGAGAAGAGACACATTAAAGGCATCTGGGGAGTTTCAGTGATAGCTCTCCTCAAACCCTGGTGTTTTCTGGCCTCATTTCCAGAGCAGTTCCTCCATGGGTGGAAGGCTGAAGCAGCTGGAGCCCATGTGTTGCTGAGACTGGCAGGGTTCCGTTCTGGGGTACACATTCCCAGCCTGTGTGCAGGTGCCCTGCAGCCCTCAATCCCAGGACTTAACTCTAGGGCTCCATTTTAGCCTATTTTAGAAGTCTTTTGGAATAACGAAGGGGGTCAAGTCAGTATACATATCGATTCACACAGTGTTTGTAAATCTTTGCCACAAAACAGCCTAATTAGGTAAGAACAGTTGTTAATGCTGTTACTGTGCTATAGACCAGTATCTTACTGGGATGCAGTAGGACAGATGTACCTGTATTTCTTCTTAGGCCACTGGAGGTTTCAATTAAGTGTTGTGGCCAAGTTTTGACTCTGTGTTTAAGAAAGGTGGAGACAAACTGCAGAGAATTTGGAAGGCTTTAAAAACACAGAATAGCTTTAAAAATATGATCCTGGTAGGACAGGGAAAGGATGTTGTCAGCTAAAGGGAACTCTCAATGTTTTTCAGTGGGTTTAATCAGAATTTGGATGGAGTCACAGGAGGAGGAAGAGTTGGAGCAGGAAGGAGGTCACAGGCTGGAGGGGTCTTGGGGAGGTTGTAGGGATGGGTCAGACACACCGTGTCAGGGGGATCCAGCATGTCCAGCCCTGCCTCAGTGAGCAGCACAAGGTGCATCATCTCTCCAGTAGACAGTCTGTGATTCAGCGACACCTCACAACCAGAACCTGCCAGAATATTTTAAAAAGCTGAGACTCATGTGGAAGGGGAACCATCTGGTGCTGTTGGAGTATGTGTTAAACCCAGGGTTTGGAAAGAGATGGATATAGATTGTCCCGTCTCCTTACAGGAAGAACTTTCTATCCCTGGGAGCACAGAGCTGTGCCAGGCATGGTGGAAAAGAGCTTGTGATGCTCCTCACCTGGTTTTCTGCCCAGAGCCAGGTACCTGTGCCTGAGGTACCCCTGACAGGTCAGCTCTGACAGCCTGGTCCTCACAGCCAGCCCTGTCTGGTGCTCAGTACTTCGGAAGACATTCCCTTGTAATTGCTTCCTGCAGAATTCCTCCTCGCTGCAGTGCGGCTGCTCGGGAGACGAGATGGCAGATGCTGTGCATGCGGGTCAGAGCCAGTCTGGCACTTCGTGTGTTCCTGTGACCTTGGCACAGATGGCAGAGCTGCAGCTCCCGCGGCTTGGCAGGCGCCTTCTGCTCAGTCCCGGGCACAGGTGCCAGTTGTCTCGGGAGGCAGGGGAGTGGGATGTGTCCACTGTGTGCCCACAGGACATGGCCACGGCGGGGAGTGGCGGCTCTGAGCTGCAGCTCTGTGCGTTGGGCAGCGGGTACTGGGGAGGGAACTGCTGCCATAGAGCTGCTGCTGACAGGTGTGAACACCCGAGGGAAGAGCAGGACGTGAAGCCCCAGGAGAGGCTCTGGGTGGGACCTCTGCTCCTGCATGCTGTGATGGGGTCTGTGGTACTGACAGAGATGGGAGGGGAGGTGGATGGTGGGACCAGTGGCCTTAGGAGAGAAGGGAGAAGGGAGAAGGAAGGGGCTTGGCCCAGGCACTGGCTGTGCAGTAGGAAGGGGAAGAGCTGTAGGTGGGATTTAGCTGTGTCCAAGGCCTGGGTGCATCCAGAAAACTGGACAAGTAGGATGAGGTCTGCTGTGGAGAAAGGATCAGGGCTCAAAGAGAAGGCACAGTCCGAGAAGGTGATGGGAGTTTGGAAGAGTCAAGGCGGTGGAGTCAAAGACTCCTGTATAAAGAGGGGGAAAGGGAGGTGCTTGATGTTAAGGTGTTCCCTGGAGAGGTCTAGAGAAGCAGAAGACCTGGGCTGGCTTAGCAGACAGGACTTTCAGTAAGGTAAAAATAGTTTAAGGGGGAGTCAGGCATCTTTTTTTTTTTTCTCCCTAGAGGGAGCACAGATCATACTTGCAATGTGAAGGGAGGAAAGCCAGGGAGAGGGAAAAGGTGTGGAGGAAAAAGGAGGAGGAGTGCCCTGGGGTGATGCTGGAGAAGGGGGCTGCAGGCAGCAATGAGGAGTGCTGGGGAACAGGTGGAGGAGGTACCACAGTCAGGACTCCAGTAGCCGAGAAAGTGGGTCAGTGCTTAGTGATGGTGGGTTTGGTCAAAGGAAGTGACCGCCCTGGAACGAGACAGGAGTGAAGGAATCTCTGCCTGAGCTGGTCACACAACCTGGTGCCCTCTACTTCGGGCTCAGGGGGCTCTGGAATCCGGTGCTCCTGGGGGTCTGTGCTCCAGGGTGTGGATGCTCCGCGCTGCCCGAGCCCCTGGGGTCCACACTGACGGTTTTCACGTGTCTGTGAGCACAGGGTTGGGCTGTTGGGCATAACGCAACTGCTGGGGAATTTGCTGCCCCATCACAGCTTTGGGAAAGGTGAGAAGGCAGAAGGTAGCTGGATCTGGTGCAGGGCCGGTGCGGCCGGGGCCGGAGGGCTGGGTGCCCAGAGCGGGGTCCTGGCAGGAGAGGGGGAACTCCGGGACGTGCGGCGGGACTGCGGCCGGGGAGGGCATCGGGGGGCGCGGGGATGCCGTAAGGGCCGGGTCGCTGCTGGAGCCGGTCCCGCCGGGATCCGGGGTCGGTGCCGGGGCCGGTCCCGCCGGGATCCGGGGTCGGTTCTGGAGCCGGTCCCGCCGGGATCCGGGGGCGGTTCTGGAGCCGGTCCCGCCGGGATCCGGGGTCGGTTCTGGAGCCGGTCCCGCCGGGATCCGGGGTCGGTTCTGGAGCCGGTCCCGCCGGGATCCGGGGTCGGTTCTGGAGCCGGTCCCGCCGGGATCCGGTGTCGGTTCTGGAGCCGGTCCCGCCGGGATCCGGGGTCGCTGCCGGGGTCACGGGCAGCAGCAGCAGCAGCAGCAGCAGCAGCAGCAGCGAGTGGGGGCGCAGCGCCCTCTGGCGGACACGGAGGCCCCATTGCGTGCCCTGCCCGGCGGTCGGTACCTGCCAGGGTCCGGGCCGGTTCTGGTCCCGGTGAACGCCCCGACGGGGCCCGGGCAGGTTCTGGTCCCGGCGCTCGGGGTCGCCCCGACGGGGTCCGGGCCGGTTCTGGTCCCGGTGAGCGGCCCGGCGGGGTCTGGGCGGCCGGGCATCGCCGCCGCTCCCTGGAGCGGGCTCCGCCGCGGGCGCTGAGCGCGGCTGGGCAGTGACAGGGACCGGCGCTGCTCTGCCCCAGGGCCGCAGCCCCGCGCCGCTCCGGAGCGCTGCCCGTCTCCCGGACTCGGTGCCGTCGGTGCCCGCGGCGGGCGGGGCGGCCCCGGCCCCCGCCCCATCCCCATGGCGGCCCCGGCCCGTTCCGGGGCGGGCCGGCCCAGCCCCGCGCTGGCGGCGCCGAGCACGGCCCGGACATGCGAGCGCGTCGTGGGAGCCCCGCGCCGGCGGCCGAGAGCGGCGGGG